AAAAAGGAGACTTCTTTTGATTGAACTAGTGGAAGAAGAGGTCATTGAGCATTCAAAAGAGAGCCTTAAACATAACAAAGAAGATGCGGAAGAAGAGCCACAACCGACCGATGTTACAGTACACACACTAGCTGGCTACTTAAACCCGCAAACGATGAAAGGGAAACTTCTTATGATTGAACCAATAGAAGAAGAGGTCATTGAACATTCAGAAGAGAACCTTGAACATAAAGAAGATGTGGAAGAAGAGCCATAACCGATGACATTATAGTACATGCACTAGCCGGCTACTCAAATCCACAAACGATGAAAGTTGGAGGCCTTCTCAAACAACAATCGATCACTGTTCTCATCGACACGGGCAGTACTACTAACTTCCTAAATAGTAAGCTTGTTGTTCGGATAGCATTACCTATCGAGAATCGTTGCAGGTTTGATGTTAAGGTCACCGACGGACGGATTTTGAATTGTGATCGTAGGCGCCCGCAGGAGAAACTATTGCTACAGGACCAAGAGATAATTGCATATTTCTTCCTTCTCCCTCTTAACAATCATGAGGCCATGCTCAGAATTAAATGGTTGATGACATTAGGTGATATTTCTTGGAATTTTATGAAACTAATTATGAAATTTTACAGTAAGGAGAAACAGGTGACATTGCACGGGAAACGTGGGGGCGACATAACAACGATTTGCACACAACAAATGGAGAAGGTTTTGCATAAAGCATGCAGCAGATTTTTGGTACAACTTGAGCAGCAAACTAAGGGAGAGCCAACAGAATTTGAAGATCCAAATCTACTTCCTTTGCTTGCTGAATTTTCAAATATATTTGACGAACCGCGCAACCTACCTCTTACCCGTCGGCATGATCATTGTATAACGATTCTTCCAAGAAAATCTTCAGCAAATGCTCAGCCATATCAGTATCCACATCTCCAGAATGATGAAATAGAAAGGATTGTAAAAGAGATGCTCGAAACAAGAGTTATTCGGCCAAGTTGCAACCTCTACTCTTCACCGGTGCTACTTGTACGCAAGAAGGACAGAATAAGGCAAATATGTGTTGATTACCTAGCTCTCAATGGCATAACTATCAAGGATAAATACCTTATTCCAATAGTAGATGAATTGCCAGATGAAAGGGAGCACAAATCTTCACAAAGCTGGACCTTTGATCCGGGTATCATCAAATACGAGCGTGCGAAGAAGACATACCGAAAACCACCGTTTGAACACACAAAAACCACTACGAATTTTTGCTTTCTTCAACAGAAGGTGGAATATCTTGAGCATATCATATCAGAGGAAGGTGTGGCAGTGGACCCCTTCAAAATTGGAGCAATGCAAAACTGGTCGACCCCGAGAAACATAAAATTGCTACATGGCTTTCTAGGTTTAATAAGCTACTACTATAAGTTCATGAAAAACTATGGAAAGATCAATGCACCACTTACTTCCTTACTGGAAAAAGATGTCTTCCAATGGTTGGACAGAGCCTCCGCTTCCTTCGACAAACTTAAGGTAGCCATGACGACGACGCCGGTGCTAACACTACCAGATTTCAACCGACCCTTCATTATTGAGGCCGACGCATCTAGAGTCGGAATTGGAGCCATTCTCATGCAAGATGGTCGATCACTCGCATACACTAGAAATACATTATCTCCCTCCCATCAAAATAAGCCAATATATGATAAGGAGATGCTCGCCATTGTGTGCGCAGCAATGAGGTGGAGACCCTACTTGATTGGTCGACGATTTCAAATTAAAACCGACCATAAAAGCCTCAAATACTTTTTGGAGCAAAAGATATCATCCCTTGAGCAGCAAAAATGGGTAACAAAACTTCTTGGATTTGATTATGAAATAACTTACAAAAAGGGGAAAGAGAATATTCTTGCAGATATGCTTTCGCAGCTACCCGAGCAAGCTGAAGTTTCGGTCGTTTCACTTCCGACCAGCGACTTCCTTGAGGATATTAACATGGAATGACAGGAAGATTCAGAGACTAGTAAGATTATAAAAAATTTGGAGGAAGCACCAAGCTCCGTGGCTCATTACAATTGGGACTCAAAAAAATTACACTATAAGGGACGCATTGCGCTTATGATAAATTCTACTTGCATCTTCACGAGTAGATTTTGGACAAAGTTATTATATATGCAGGGTACTAAATTGAAAAGGAGTACGACATATCACCCATAAATCGACGGCCAGACAGAAGTTGTAAATAGGTGCTTGGAGACAACCCAAAGCCACCCGCCAAATATGACTATCTAAGGAGAACTCCAGACCCAGCCAAGTACTATTATTGATCGACGGATCGTGACTCGACGACGACGACCCACTACTAAAGTGCTAATATAGTGGGTGAACCTACCAACAGAAGATGCCACTTGGGAGAACTATGACGACTTAAAGATCAAATTTCCAAAATTCATGAATCGTCAGCCTCGAGGACAAGGGTGATTTGAAGAGGACGGGTCTGTTAGGACTCTAGCTAGGAGAGTCCTAATTGAGAGGGACATTCATGTAAAACCTACCTAAGCCGACACCTATTAAAGAGGTGAAGAGGCTGGCTAGGGTTAGGAGGTTGTTTCTTAGAGAAGGATTAGGAGTTGTAAAGGAATAGGAGTCTTGAGTAGAAGTCCTATTAGGAGTTGGTTAGAAGTAGGAGTCTTAAGTAGGAGTTCTATTAGGAGTTACGGTTTAGAAACCCTATAAATAGCCATGTATTCCTCCTCTTTTGATAAGCAATAGATGAATCTTTTCTGCAGCCTTTGAGTAGCAACTTGGAGGGAGGAACCCCTATAGAGTTCCAAGGAGGCCGATCCCCTAAAGAGATCAACCCCAAGTTTAGAATTTGCAAGGGTTCTAACATAGTACCGCCCCTGTCAGGTAGTGGTACCATCGGCAGTTATTACTGCCAGCGGTGGCACCGCCCTAATTAGGCGGTGGTACCGCCAAAGCTCGGTCTTCGAGCTCTATCAGGCGATAGTACCGCCCAGATTGAGCGGTGGTACCGCTAGTGACAGATAACAGGTGGTAGTACCACCCAATTATGGTGGTGGTACCACCAGGACCCCGAAAATTCGGGAATGGACACTTTTGAGCTCCAAATTCAAACTGATTGGGGTTTATATAAACCTCACCCTTTCTGCATGAAAGTACAACCAAAAGCTTGCTTTTATTCTGAGTATTTGAGAGCTTAAAAGTGTTGTAAAAGTTAGAGTTCTTCTCTCTCTTTCTTTCTAAGTGTTGATTATTCAAGATAGGAGTGAAAACTTATAAGGGTTGTCTCCTAAGCCCGTCAAAGGGAGAAAAGTTGTAAAAGGGTGGTTGGCCTTCGCCTATTGAAGGAAGGCCTCTAGTGGACGTCGGTGACGTCGTCGGAGGAGGAAGCCAAAAGTGGATGTAGATCAAGATTGACAGAACTACTCTAAATCTTGGTTTGCATTTATTTTCTGCTCTTTATCTTAACTGCAAACTGCCTTTATTGCTTTATATCAACTACACTTCTGCTTGCTCTTAACTTAAAAGATCTTTCCGAAACGGTTTTCATCGAAATCAGATTTCATCGTACAAAAGTCATTTTAACGGATGAAAGTTTTCCGCTGCACTAATTCACACCCCCCCTCCCTCTTAGTGCTCTTGATCCTAACATTCCCTTCTAGGTTCACAGGAAGGGAGAGCTACCCTCCGAACCCGAAGGTCGGGTGAGCAACGGGTGGCTCCTCTCTGGGATGTTCACCCTAGTTGCTCGGCTATAGGCGTTCTTGCAACATCGAGCCCTCTTTCTAGCGCCAAAAATATTGAGCAACCTTATACCATGGTAAATGGGTCATCACGGCTTGGTTCGATCCCGAATATGTAGAGTTGCCCATGTGGCTGCTCAGACAAGGGTGGTCAGGTCTGGGTTTTGCCTCTAGAGTTGATTCAAGGTAGATCAAGGAGTTGCTCTTCCTCCCTTGTTGGGTTGCTGCTCCTTCCTCGCCAAGTTTCTGTACACAGGCCAAAGTCGAGAGGGGGATTTTTCGATTCAACCCCTCTAAAGTTGAGTTAGTATTGGGTGGTGGGTGTTAAGTTTGAGTGTTCAAAGTCCCACTTTGATGCTGGGCAGGAGGTTGGATTTATACCTGCGAACGAAGGTCGATCGTACATGATCTGTTAATGGCCATCGACTCCTCAAACGGTCGGCTCATACCTTCCATGTGGGAACTGACCGACCCGCATGGATCTGCACCATACTACATTGTTCCAAACTTTCCGGAGTAGCTCTGCATTGTGCGGCTTTGTCTTGCACAGCCTCGGGCAGTGTGGGAGCAGGCAATGCCGTTCTGAGCTTTATGGAGTAGCCCTATACCATGCGACGCTGTCATGTACAGCCTCTGGCAGCGCAGGAGCTGGTGGCACTATTCCGAGCTTTCTAGAGTGCCTCTATACTATGCAACGTCGTCTAATATGGCCTCGGGCAGCACGGGAGCAAGCAGTCGTCCCGTTCAAGTCCGAGGTGTTACGTCAAGCAGTGCACTATGTCAACCTTGAGTGTTATCACGAGCATAGTGCTAGAATATCCCGTATCACATACTATCCTGAATTAGTTAATTTTGTTAAGACAACTTAGAACTCCCTATGGTTACTTAGAAATATCTTATCAGATATTATATATTATTTTTCTTCCCAACTTCAAATTGTTGATAGCCATCATTTCTCGGACTACTAATAGTATAGTGAACCGATTCGGTGGCTTCTCTTAAGGACTGTAGTGACTCCCGCAATGCTGCTTTTGTAACCCTCGGTTAAAAATTTTAGCACAGTTTTTTTTTTTAAGAAAAACAAATTGATGGCATTTTGTTCCCTCCGGATCTGATTCGCTGCTCCTCCTCTACCACCAAGCACATTTGGACGTCGCGTCACTTACCGACGCGCGGACTCGTGCGGTTACCATCATATACGCCGCGCCCCACATGTAGATGTTACCGGTACCTCTCGGAAAAGGGGCGTTTTCGTCATTTTGTGTGCTCAACAGCTAGTGAGGTTGCTCTCAACCTCCAGGGCTCTCCGCACTCGGTTCCTTCGCCCCGCTCCTCCTCCGCGCCGCCGTCAAGGCTACCACCCGCGCCCTATCCTTGTAGTCAACGTGCGGCCCTTGCACGACGTTCCCCCTATGTCTCTGTTCCGCTCCGCCGCCACGCGTTCTTCTCTTGCTGCCGTCGCCGCCGACTGAGCTCTTCCACCGCTGCTTAATCGCTCATCTGCCACTGCCGCGGGCCGAGCCACCTCCTCCCTGGTACTCTTCTCTCCTCTCCTCCGCTCCTGATCGCAATTCTTGTTTCCTCTCCTATTCGCTCCTCTCCTCTCCTCTCCTCCCTGGCCCTCTCCTTGCCTGCCTATCCCCATTGGTTTTTTTGGTACAGTTTTAGACAGCATTTGAGAAATGAAAATTGGTACGAAACTTCCTTAGAGAACATCATGTTTTATTTTGATGTTTTCAGCGACCAACACGGTGTGTTCGTAGAAGAGCAAAATATATTGGTGTGATGCTTGGTAGAGCAAAAATAAGTTCTCTTTCTAAATGTTACTGTGAATAGTTCACCATTGAAGTGGGATTGATTGAGTATAAGTGAAAAAACAATGTTACAGTTCTCCAGTTCAAAGAAACCAAAATATTTAATTACATTGATAACTCAAAATATCTACTACAGTTATCATCACTAATATACAAAATTCTTCAATTATTACAATAGAGATGTCAGCACTAATACAATCCCTCTTTTACTTAATATCATTCTTGAGTAATAAAGGAGAGATCAATCCCGTCACTGTAAACCTTGAAAGAAAAAAACACAACAATTAAATTATAAAGAGATACTATTACTAAATTATATATTCACTTAATAAAAATTCAAAATTTTAACTTTAGAACGTTTGAGTTTCACTAAATATCAACAAAAGATTATTATAAAATTCTCGAAGTATATGTGTAGATCTTAATAATCTTGTATAAATTGTAGGATCTTACGATTCTACATTTTGGTTCTATGATCTGAGTTTATTGACCCCTTTGGAATCCTAGGTAGGAAAGTGAATTTGACAACCTTTACAAATTTCCCTCCTAACTTGGTGGACACTCAATAAGGCCTGGAGTTCTCTTTCTAAATTTTGCTAAGTACATCTCTGTCATACAAAAGTTAGAAGGTTTGTATTTTTTATTGTCTGATTTTATTATTCTGGGTTCAATTTGTCATTTAGTCTTTATCACTGTTGATTGTACTGATGTTTTAATTTCCTTCTGTAAGTTTGAACACCAAAGACATTGGATCCAGAAGCAAAATTCTATCTCATATTAGTGCCTCCTGAACCCCATTTTACTTAATGGACCTCTATGAGCAATGGAAGGGAATCTTGCGGATCCAAAAGTTTCGGCGAATGGTGTCATATGCTGGCTTCTATGGCTTTGTCACTCTCATCAGTTATGCCTTTACAAGCAACACGTACTGCCTTTCTTTCCCTCCCTCTTTCTTGCAGAGCCTTCTAGAACCTTTTGATATCCGTTTTTCCTAATCATGTAGAAAGAGGGCAGGATTCTCTAATGCTGACCAGTACTATGCTGCTTATCCAGCCAGCATCGAGCTTTTGACAGATACTGCAAAGGTTTGTTTATGTTCTTTGGTTTTTATTTTTTAATCTTTGTTCTTTTTTCTAGCTGTTTTGTTGATTGTATGAAGTATTAATTTTCTTTCTTGAGAATTGATGACAGTCCTCTTGTTATCATTGTCATTGTCATGTATAGAGTGTCTATTAAAACTCGAGATAGCTGCAAAATGACATCGTTTTTCTTCTTTTAAGCCATGGATTTTGTAGATATATACCAATGGTACAAGTGTTAGGCTTATGCTTTGATTTTTTGTAGTAGTGTGTTAAAACTTCAGAGTACTTCATGCTATTTGTGCTAATTTGGATATGGTACAAACTACAAACAATAATCCTTTTGCTAAGGAATAAGTAAAAATGAGTTTTGTGACTTGATGAAGGTGCTGGCTAGCTTAGTTGGTAAAGATTATGATAGAATTTTTTAGTTCTTGGGCTCGAATCTCACATTCACCAATTACCCTTTCAAAAAAGAAAGTTTTGTGACCTATTGAAAATTTTGACTATGAGTTGCATTAAGAGTGACCTGGCTGATTTGCCTTATCAATGACCACATGCCATATCTATCTGTTGAACTAAATGAACCTGAAATTAATCGTTGAAACCAGTGTCTGCCGTACTGAAGCGTACCGGCCGTACCGGGCGGTACATACCGGTCCGCCAGGTACTTGGTACGCGGACCACCCTGTACCTGTCCGCCAGGTACTCGGTATGCCCTGGTGTACCGCCCGGTACACCGGTACCGTACCGTACCAAGCCCGGGTCGAAACTCCGGTACGGTACGGTATGACGGACCTTGGTTGAAACTATAACTAAGGGTGCATTTGAGAATATATTTGAAATGTGCATTGAGGGCTCGGTACACATTTCAAATGTGAATTGGTGTTTGATAAATTCTTTTCATATCATATTTGGCTTGGATGCCACATTGCAAATGCTAAAATGTTGATGCTACCTCAGGAGAGCATTAGCATTTTAGCATTTGCAGAATGCTAATGTAATTGTTTAAATTCCCAAAGTACCCTATGACATTATCTAAAATCACAAGATTGCCCACGTAACTTAGTAAGAAACCAACATGAGTTATATCTTCTATAATGTAGAATTTTATTTATATAGTTGAAAAAATTATTTTACATTCATTTATATGATTATTTTTTATTTATTATATATCTGGACCATATGAAATTTTTTTGTAAGATTATATACATTTATTTATTTTATTTATTTACTTATTAATTTAAATATAGTATATATATTCACTTTTGAATAAATATCAAAAATATTAGACTGATAAGTTTGTCACATAATATTCAATGGACTTTTGAAATATAATTTTGTCAAACAATACTTATATTAATGCATATTTAAAATACAGTTTTCATCTACTCTTTACCAAATACTCAAGGCATCTTGTAATTACACATTCATTCGAACTCTTTTCTCCAAATGCACATTAAAAATACAAATATGTTTCCAAATGCAGTCTAAGTCCTCGTGATTACACCAGGGATAACAACTTTTGAATTTTTATGTAATAATCACACTTGAATTGCAATATTTTTATGCAATTATTAATTAGAAATTTATTCTAGGCAGTCTCTATAACTTCTTTTTATGTTCTTAAGTGGGCACATGATGAGTAACCTCTCTTTAGTAAGCTAATAGAAATAACAGTTGGCACAATTTTGTCTAAAAAATGAACAGAACCAAGATTAAAATTCAATTGGAGGATTATTCTTTCTTATTGATTTAACTAGTTCTCTTGCCTTAGTTCAATTGTCTTATGATGTAATATCTGACTTGCTTCGTATGCAATTCCATGAGAATGGTCTTATGGTAATGAGAAAAAGGTGCTAGAATTCCTATTGTTATAGTTGACATGATGAGATTGTCATACTTTCAGATCCTATACAAATAGGTAATTACTAACAAAACAAACTTACAGTCACTTCTACTTTCTTTTTCTGGTTTGATTTAGCTCTACAAATGTGCTGTGGATTTTTTGTACTGTAGTTGGTAAATTTATGCTTCAAAAATTCTCAAAATTATCCAGGAAATTGAACATTTTAAAGCAATTGGAAAACTTTGGAAGATCTATTGCTTCTTTTTGATATCTTGAAATTTCATTTCTTGCCACATAAGGACAACAAGAGATATAAGACGAGATATAATGCAGTAGAGATGTATCTGTCTTTATGTCAACTCTTATTAGTAAATGCAAATATGTCAGAGAAGTTAGAGAGTGTAATTCGTATAATTTAGATGTTCAGAGTCATGTTCACCACTAGGCGACAGTCTGCATGCACAGGTGATGAACCCTGAAGTATTAATGATCCGTATTAAGTTTGAACAAAGGTACCTTTAACCTTTTAGAAACTTGGTTTCCTGCTACATGTCCTATGGAGTGTCATCTATCGAGGCCATCTAGGCTTCACTCAAAATATGGATTTTATTTTTTAACTCTATTTTGTTCATCTAAGTTCCTTTTCAGTTATACAATTAATTTGGGTGTAGTTAGTTTGGGTTGATGAAAAAGGATTAGGTTACACTAACATTGGCATGTCTGGTTCTTTAATCTGTGTTCCTGGATCTGGTATCAAGTCTTTTCATGCAAATGTCAGCTGTACAAGGTGGCTCTTGGAAATTGCTTTGAAGAAGAGGAATGGGGACCAATTGAGTTCTCCATCATGGCAAAACATTTTGAGCGCCAGGGAAAACCTCCATATGCATACCATGCTGTAAGTTATAGAAATTACTCATTTCAAATTTCCCCCTTTATATTTGCAGATAATAATATATCTCCATGTTCATTCACATCCAGAGGCATTTTTGTTAGTTGTAATAAACTGGTTAAAGCTTCCTACTGAATATCAATTTAAATATGTATAAAAGAATATTGATATCATTGAAATGAGGGCAATCAATTACAAGCTGTAATTTTTTATATATACGCTTGTTCCAACTTGAAGCAAGCAAATCTTAGAAGGAATAAACTATTGCATGGGAGATTTTGACCAGTCTAATCTAACATTGTTTACATGGGGAATGAAACTTTCTAGTTCAGTTGTTGAAAAGTGAATCCATATGTTGCTAGACGCAGAGGAAGTTTTATCAAAGAAACTTTTCAGAGTGTGAAACCTTGATATTTACATACTGAGTGATCATAAGAACAAGCTACAACATTGACATGATTTAAGTTTTAAGATGCATTGTAGTGCATCAAAGGAACACTTAAATGAGGTCAACTAGTGGTCTATATGTTGGAGCAGGACTTCTAACAAACAATGTGATAGGCAAGAGAGGTATCTTAAAAATAATTAGGCTGTTCAGATGTATAATCATGACCGTCACAACATCATAAAATGATTGTTGTAGTGGTGGCAGCATTATAAAACATGTCAGATATGACAGACCACTTTTGTGAGAGGTAAGGGTGGAATAGCAAGCCAGACTGACGAATTGTTATTTTCAATGCCACTTTTTGACATATTTGTGTGGTTGATTAAGCTGGTGTATGAAATTTAGCTAGGTTTGTGCATTAAATTAATTAGGAGATTTGTAATTATGACAAACACAGACCAGTATGACTTGTTTGAGCTTACTAACAACCACATGTGATACTAATCCCTATCCTTGTTTGAGGAGAATACTACTAGCTATCTACATATTCTGGCATGACAAGCACTTGCGGATTTCTTTTATTTGTCACTCTGATGGTTTACTTATTCTGGAACTGTGTAAAATTTGATTTGGAGTTTCTATAGGTTATCGAATGGTGATGGCTTCAAGTTTTATTTTAGATTAAAAAGTTAATGAGAAGTAAGTTCTTATCATGAGCATATATAACCTGCAATTGGTTCTTCTCCATATAGCTTTCTTACATGGTGATTCCAAAGAATGCTGAATTCATGCATCTTCAAGAAGTCTGCTGGTGTGAAAAGATTATTTAGATTAATCTTTTTGCAGGCATAGGGAAAATATTTGTAGCTATTCACATGCTTGTCTAACCAAGTCCTGTTTTTTCTTTCTTTCTTTCGAATCACCTTACCTTGCAACTCCAAGATTCTCGTTTTTGCTGGTCTCTGATACATCTTCATCACGAACATGTCATGTGCAGCAATACATGGCGCACCTTCTCTCACAAGGACAACTTGATGGCAGCGGCTAAGTGCTCATCGCATCTGCCTCCATGAGCCAAGTTTCTGCATTATTTTGAAGCTCACGGCGATGAATTGCCCCAAGAAAGTAGCAACTCCTTTGTTGAACAAAGCATACATACCTAAGAGTTATTGTCAAATTTCTTGTTGATCTTTCAGGCTTATGCAATTATCGTCATCAGTCAATTATATTACGGGTTTACGAGAGTGTGGATGAGATGAATCATCATCTTCTGGACTTTGCGGTTTGTGATTGTGGTGTGTATTGTGCAGTCGGAGTGTACAAGATGATTAAGAAGATGAGTTTGTATTAGCATTATTTTGGTTACACCGTCGAATAACTCTTAATCTTCCTCATGACAATGTCACTTTTAAGGACATCAGTTTTTGTGATCAATTAGAAATCATTGATGAAGTTCCGTTCTAAACATGGCGATCGATAGGATTTTGATGCAGAAAGAAAGATGTCGAGCACAATGCTGATTATTCAATTCAAGATCATAATAAAAATGAGTTGCCAGCTAAGAACCCCCGCAAAATATAATTGGGTGATCGTCATACCCCACAACTTAAACTAATAGGAAATAGGACAATCTTATATTAAACTCTAACATCCCCCTCACTGTATATTTGACACAAGAAATAATTATATGACGCTAAGTCGTGAGGATGATCACTGTGCAAAACTAATTAAATTGAACATATGAAAAAATCGAAAGGAATATATAAATATTTCGATTGATCCAATCTATATTAAACTTTAATGTTAATTATTCCTATCATCATGAATGGGAAACATGCTTCTGGTGATGTCAAAATTAATTGCTCAGGAAACCTTGGAAAAAACACAAAGCATACAAAGGCAAAGAAAATTTTGATAATGTTTCTCGAGTAGCAACATATATTAATTATCATAGGAAGCAAAAACTTGTGCTGTCACAGAATTTGTCCACCGAATACCAACTTGGAAGGAATGGTAAAGTTTTCATGTTGGTTTCCGTCTATCCAAGAAAGTTCATGATCACCAGGTGGAGCACCAAATTGCAGAGAACAAAATCAGCAAAAGCCCGTTCGGGTGGTAGATCCTGCAACCAATTCCTTGTTAGAAGAAGAACCATTTAGGAATGGAGCTCCAAGACTAATATGATTCTTATATGCTGAGTTTGTGGTTACCTTAAACTCCTTGTTCTCTTTGTTGACTTGAATGCGAAGACAAACTGCATCATCAAACATAATAATGATAGTATTCAATTTTTCAAAAGCGGTATAAGCTTCTTTTCCTCAATGAGATGCAGGAATTGGTCGTACCTGCAAGTACTGCTGTCCCTACACAGGAAAGAACACCAGAAAGGAAAGAGTTGAAGGGAAACGATCCAACTATTCCCATGTACACAACCTGTTGCATAATACAAGATCAAAAACACACAAAGGGCTAAGACTCATAACACAGAGATTCATTCCACAGGTTAAACAATGACAACTTAGCCATTAAGCTCATGAGCTTCCGAATTCATGAGGCTTAAATGAGCAAAGATGAGCCAAACCAACCTACTTAGTTTATGTTAGTCAGTTTAGCCACATTGTCGATTCAGTGATCATCTAACTATACGACTATGAGAATGTGACACTACACTGTGCACATTTCTTGCTTAATATGACAATAACTCATCACAAAATTACTGCATTGAATTTTCTCCACCATAGTTTCAAAGATGTGGACTTAATACTTTTCTCAACAAGCAAAGAGTCAATACTGCTTCTTTGTTTATCATAAGATTCATAGTAAATTTTCACGCCATGATGAAAAGATATGCAAATTAAGAAAGCTGTTTTCTCATACCTGAATTACTGCTGTAGTAATTGCGTAAACCACATAAAGATCGATAATCTGCAGATATACATATGTATGGAAAGAGAAGTCAATTCTGCAGCTTCAATCTCCACTAATTTATCCGAAATGAAAATCAAGTCGGCTGTTCTAGAAGAGAAAGTTGTACTTCTACAAGTGCACAGGGAAAGAAAAAAATATATACTTTGAGACTAATTGGTGTGGCAGCATAAGCTGAACGCAGAGAGCGAATGAGAACTTTGGCATCGCTCGTATTTGACTTTGCCATTCCCAACAATTGGTTTCCTGAAATGTGAAAACAGAAGAAACAAAACACCATCAGTTTTTCACTAAAGACATGAGAATGGAAACAACACTAAAACAAATATATATATATATATA